AGTTAAGTTGCTTTTCAAGATCGATAAAGATACCTACGGCAATTTGACGGGATGAACTTTCGGCACGGCTCGTCCGTCGATGCAGGCATAGTGAGAAGCTAAGTATAACATTGACAAAACAGAAAGAACCAAGTAGAATATGCATTCACGCACGTGTGTATTCGTGGACAGAAGCTGCTACGGTCGGTCGGTTACGTAAGCCCTTACAGCACATTTTCCACCGAACGTCGAACCTAATATGAGTAGTCTATTTTAACAGCGGCGTGGGACGGAAAATTACGAAACACAATTGGTTTAAATATGATGCTAAGAGACAGTAATATATCTGCCGCAACCTACTATAAATTAAAAAAACAACGGAGAAATTAAAATAGTACATTTTACTGATATATTGAGAAAATAAAATTCCACATCGGAGGAAAAATTTTTATTTTGCTTTGCGCAAGAGAGTCGAAGAGTATTCTTCAAATTTATAAAATAATATATGACTCTCTAAAAAATTTCAGAATACGTGATCTTGAAAGAGCAGTGTGTGCGTATTCTACTTCTAAAGTATAACGTTTTATATTAATTTTACTTCGATGTAATATTAATATGATACATATTAATAGAGATTAATGAAACAAATTATGTGGAAGTAATCAGCATATACGTCATGACAATCTATATTTATGATAATTTAAAAATATTTTCTTTTTACTAATGGGAGTTATAGTAATTACAATGATTAGATAGGTGTGTAACACTGTGCCGGGCTAATTGGAGCAAGTGCTTTAATCTTTGAAAACGTATTATACAATAAAATAATCGCTTTTTTTGTTTAATATAATTCGGCAATTTCTATCTTTAAAAATTCATTAAAAATGACGTTTCTTTGCTAATTGTATTTTAACATATCTCTCGATAATTATTTATGAATCAAACATTACTAAATCCTGCATTTATTTATCCGATTTACTCGTGTACACTCCGATTGTCCTCGTGTACACTCAGTCGACATTCGTTTCGGTCCATTTAAAACACACTGCATCTGCATTAATTCGTGCCATTACCATAAAGAGAAAAAGAGAGAGAGAGAGAGAGAGAGAGAGAGAGACAGAATATTTTTCCTCTTAATGTTAATTTGAACGAATAATTAATATTCACTTGAATCAATAAGTAAATATTAATTACTGCAGATGTTATTAATATTAATATTAACTCTGCCAGTGTCGTTATAATTTATTAAAAATTTAATAAAAGACCGTGCTTCTCTCGTGCAAAAACGGTCATAATGCCGAAAGCCGCATTGTGCGTAAAATCACGTTACGTAAAACTTTTCCTGCTTTCCGCTTAGGTCAGCGCGACATTTCGTGGATACACAGAATCGGAATACACATCGGCATCGTAATAATAAGCGCCGGCACTTACGGAGAAAAGAAAAAAAATAGTATACCTCTATTTTTTCTCCCCTTGTGTGTCACAACGAGCGCGCGGTCACAAAGTTTGTGCGCGAGTTGCACGTGCTGAAGATCGTAGACCTTTCTGACATTCGTACGAATTACATAATGACCTCGCTGCGGTCGCTGGTAATAAAATGCAGTTTTACGTGTGCAACATATGGAGTTCGTTTGCATGTCCGTATGTGAAACGCGAGCTACGGTTACATATACGCATCACGTATGGGCGCGTCACACACGTAACACCTCTCCGAGAAGTGCGTGGAACGGAGAGCCGCGAGTTCAGGTTATGAATAGCACGTGAGTGACCACGAGGTTCTCGTCACATGCTCGCGCCTCGCAGACGCACGGGTTTTATGCCGTTCGGTTATTCGTCACGAGCAGCGGGCTCGCGCACATGATTTTGAGTCGACGGCTACATTTTCGGATCGATCTTACACAACCCCGCCGAGTCTACCGTGTGCTCGAACTTGCAGAGGTGACCTTTCTGGGACGTAGACTAGACTAGAATTTTTCTGCGGAAAATACAAGGAAATGCGCGTAGATCCGTATTATAAAATATTTCAACTGGGTTTATCGCGATCTCTCAGAAACATTTTGTTGTCCAGTTAGGCGTTTATTAAATTAAAAGTCTATTAATCGTCATTTTATTAGATAAGTTAAGAACATATTAATCGTCAGTTTATTAAATATCATAAGCAGCATATTGAATTGATCGCGAGTGTCTAATTAATATCGAGAATCTCTCTCCCCACATTTCATCACAATTTTCCTGTCGAACGTGACAGGAAAATAAAATTATTCACTCCCCGCTTTATCAATTAATCCTCTCTATTTATTTTACGCTTTTCCTGAGAATGGATGCGATTTTTAGACTCGACAGCTGAAAAATCACATCATACTGATTAAGCAGAAAATTAGTTCACTTCGTGGTAAACGGTTTTTATAGCTTTTTAAACGCAACGATCCGTGGAGTATGATCGCAAATAGAAACATGGTCAAAGATATATGCACGGCGTATATAAGCTCTCTCCGTGTCTGATAATAAATATTTTAGTGGAAAATATATATTTTATAATACCGGTATATATATGTACATTTGAACAACACCCAAGTGAAATCGGTTGCAAACTAATTCGTACCGGCATCCTTTATCGACGCCGATGTCACTCACGTTCGCTCGTTGCCGAATTCGTTTGAATCGCGGAAGAGATGTAGCATGGAATATCTAGAAATTGTAATAATAGATTCGCGAAGCGAAGAGGTGTCGGATGGGTCTCATTTACACGCGGTGTTCCGTAGAACGCGCTCGAACCTTACGCGCTATTTTTACCTATCGATACCCGTCGCATTTACGGCCTCCGGTTCGGTTAGTTACGCCGTCGCGTATTTCGCTCCGCGATAGTTATTTTACGGTCCTTTAAGCGTCAAACTCGCAGCGATATCAATGATTTAATATGCTCATTACGCTCCTGCGAGCGCTATATCTGTTTCGTCGCTACGTGCGCGCGCGCGCGCTGTACGTTTCTTCGACCTCCACGGTCTTACCTCGAAAGGTTAAGGAACTCTTTGGACCATTTGCCAATTCTAGTACGGCTGATATAGTGTCTGTATTGGTGACGTGCATGGCGCTTCTAAAATCGCCGAGGAGAAGCCGAGAGACGTTTCCGGTAATACGGGGACAATTTTTCCGTTATATAACTCGACTGAAAGAAGTTTCCTGTTGAGGAAACGTTTGTATACTTGCAAACGCATTGTTGGCTCGGGAAATCAACACGTCGGGATCGATCTCTGAGGTTGGGAGACATCCGAGGAAGTTTCGTCACGCGAAGTTGAATCGATCGAATTAATCCCTTCGTGCGATCGATTTCGGCTCAGAATTTTGGCTCTGAAATTTCAGTGACCCTCGCGATGTTCCTAGTCGGGTCGACTAGGAAAGCGCTTTGCGCGCACAAAATTGTGATCGTGCGAGGTGTTTTCGGAAATACAACGCAGTTTTAAATTCGATCGATATCACTGAGCTCTGTGAAAGCCTGCGGGCGATTAATTGACGGTTTGCACGGTTGGCCGGCAGAGAAGAGGTTACCTCGCTCGACTCATTGAACACACTCGACACGTTGCTTTCAACGTTACGTTCTATTGTAATCGCGGTTTACCCGAGTCACGATATCGTTCTTGGACTATTTTCGAACACGACTTGACTTCGCAAGCATGCGCGCGCGCTTACGGAATGGGATTAATTCTGATAAGGTGTTTTTACGCGCCTTGTGACTCTTACGTGATACTTACGGGTACATTATCAAGAGTATTAGAGACGCGACAGAAGATTAATATCGTACCATGCTATACCAATCTACGATCGTGACACTTCATTAAGGTATTTATTTATCAAAGACACAAGGTGCGCGCGTGCATCAAAACGTATACAATTCAATCTAAGCAAGGTATCCTTGGACCGTCATTCCTACGATAGAAACCATATATCAATTTTAAATGTCTCGAGTCAGTCGGAGACCCCTTAAGGAGGCGAAAAAATAACAGAACTTGAAGCTTCCAACATGTTTAGTAGGTGTTACCAAATCTTGTCACAACATGTGTTTTGTGGCTGCGTTAGCACATGTGTGGGATTAAAGATCAAGTTACAAATGGTTGGAAGAAACATCGTGACGTTTACGTCGTCGTATCTTCCGATTTTTCTCTTTAAACAAAGTAAGATGCATGTACTAAATGTTGACACTACGAACGTTAAAACGTACGGCCAAAGAATAGGTCCCCGTCGCTCATTTTTGCGGGAGAAATCCCGCGACAAATATAGCACATCGTCATGACATGTTTCAATTTAGCTGATATTGACGGGCCTAAAAACTGTGATAGTAAGTCGCAAAGTCCGAGGTGAAGTTACGCGCCGGTTTGAGGAACTTTGCTCGTCGCGTCTCGAGATGTGATAACCGCTAAGTCACCGGTGCGCGTAATTTGCGGCTACGCTCTAAGAAGGCGGTGCGGTTCCTTTTTTTTACACGTGTCCAGGACGACGGAGGAGAGAATCAGAATGGAGCGAGTCCCGGCAGCGCAGGGTGAGGGAGCATCGGCCCTATGTTTTTGACAATGTGCCTAAGCCGTTCTATAACAGTCCGGCGCGTTCCAAATCATTATGCTTCAACTATTCGCGAGGCATCGTTTCTAGGCGTCAGCCTAACCACGAGGACAGCGAGCAAAGTGCATCCGTTGTTTCGTCATCCTCGTGAGAGTCTCGCGGCCGTTCCGTTTTTGACCCGAAACGACGGACGTCTTCGGAGTCCCTCGTGCCGAATTTCCTCCCTACCAACTTTGAAACTTCAATTTCCTGCTATTTTAGAGTCTCATGCGAAATAGAATAAGTTGCAAGCGGCGCTCACGTCGCCGTTATCGAAACGCGCAGCAGTGACTTCTCAAAAGTGAGATAACATGAGAGCTTGGTCGTCGGAGAACTGGAAGGAAAGGGGGAGAAGGAGAGAAATGACTCTCGCGCGTTGTAGCAAGCGTGTCGTCGGTGGGCGGCGTATGTATGGCGCAAAATCGTTCGCGTTGCACAGTCGCAGACGGCCGCGGAAAATCGAAGCGCGGTGCGACGCCGCACACCGACGGAGAGCGCGTCCAGTGCGGCCGAGGCGACCCTAGAAATTCTAGGCTAGAATTCGCGACTTTCTTCATCCTGACGGAAGTAGTGCGCGACCAGTATGCATTATTTGTGTGACTCTGCGACCGGCGAACAGCCTAAATTCGATCGTTCCCCGCCCTCGCGACGATGTCCTTAGAGCCGACAGGGAGCGGTGTGCTATGTGTTCACGAGTGTGTCCGGCCCTCCCTCATTAGCCCTCAGGGCATTGCTGATTAATCGGTAAATAAGTGAAACACAGTCGTCCACGGGCGGGACGACGAACTGTTCCTTGATAGATGAGAGATCCTTCGAAGGATCTTCCTGGACGAAGGGTCGTTTGATGAGGGAAACCTTGCGATCCTCTATCGATCCTGAGACAGGGCAGAGGAAATAAACCGATCCTAGTGCCCGCTTTACGCCATATCACTCTTTCATAAGATTATGTAATTTCTGTCGCCTCTGCTTCACGATGCCTTCCGCCTCAATCTTTAAATACAGATCGTATATACAAAGAGATCAGCTAAAACTAATTAGATAGATTTGGATAAATAAATCGTATTAATAAGTAAGAGCGATGATAAACGAAATAAAAATATCGATAGATAAAGGAGAGAAGCGATCACACAAGATGTTCGTGTGTACTTAGCCATGATTCAAGTGGCGTTGTTGTTTAAACGAAGATGATATTCCAACGAGTAGCTTCTGGAAGTCGAAATTATAGTGATCCGCCCCGATCTCATTAAAGGCCAATAACTAATTAAATATTTTTACTCAGTCGATACATAAATCACGTAACACGTTCGTTGACGGATTATCGGATATCAAGTCGATAGTGGGAACGAAGTGCAAGCTAATAATCACGATCTCGGGTTATAATGATTCGTTGTATAATCCTACACTCGTAGGCAATCGCCATATTTTGCAATCGTAACTAGCAGGTACACAGAATGATGCAATGAATTGCGTTAGAAGATTGCACAAAATTGCATCGTTACGATACATATGTACATAAACTCACAACGCGTAACCAGGATTCAAGTCGCCCGAGGATTAAGTCAGTTTATCGAAAATGTCTTCAATTTTGGTTTTCCTGTACATGTTACCTCGTTGCGTCAATACATCTAATTGAATGAATGGAAATAACGGTTACAAGAAAATTTCCGTCCTCAGCAAAATTGTTAAGATGTTTGATGATGTATATATTAAAGATTTATCTACTTCTTTTGCCGTTCAAATTGTTTTGTAGGGAAATTTGAAGGACCGCGTGAAAAAACAAGGCGTATTGCACTTTTATCGGAGTCAATTTGTCGCTGTAGATGAATATTCCATTAAAAATGCCTCGGGCAATTTCGATGGCATCTGCAATCGAACATTATAAGATCGGGTAACGCTATACGGCACACGCGTATATGTGCGTGTATATTGTTCGCATCACAAAACAGATTTCAAGGAAAAATTATTTTCAACGCCAAGGCCGATTTTTCGCAACGTACGATCTGATGTGTCGCGAGTATCGCACAATGATGAGATAGGACGGACATTTACCGATGCGAACGTCGGTCTGTTAGCACCGCGAATACCTGGGTGCTCAAATTCAGGTCAGGTGGCATCTTAAACTTCGAGGTATTCGGGTATCCGAGTACGGAGGATACACTCGACTTGTACCGGCTGTACTTACGCGCCATGTGAACGATCAATGGAATCTAGATATTAATACACCAGCGATATCTAGACGTTTTAATGCACGGTTCACTTGAAACGTAAGCCAAGACAGAATCTGGAACAAGAATGCGATACGCGATATGTCGCGTAGTGCACATACACATGTAATCTAAGGCGATGTTCAGCGTTCCGTTTTGTAAAGAGCTCCCATCGCGTGCAAACAATGCGTCCATTCCTCCTTCCTCTTCTGTGCATTCCTTCTTTTTCTCAATCTTTTTTTATATTTTCTTGTATTTCCTGAATGATTGTGAGATTTATTACTTAATAGTTGCTGAATACATGTGTATAGATAAAATATACTGTACACACGTTTATTTTTTATCTCGAAATAAATACCATGTATATGTAATATTAAAATGTTAGGAAAAATATACGTTAATTGTAAATACTATACATATACTCTTTTTAGTAGAAACTAATTTTACATAATATCGTGTACAATCAATCTTCTAGCTATTTTTTGTTTATATTGAAAGTAACAAGTGTTTATAGATAACGTTTTTTTTTTCTTTATATAAAATATACAAAATAGAGAATATTTTTATCATTGAACATTGCAACATTGAAAGTACGGCTTATCTGTCGAATATTGATCTTTAACCTACCAATGTATCCATCTGTGACAACACCCATATCTTTCCGTTCTCTTTCATTTCTATGATTGATAACTGTTATTTGCGACACTTATCTAGTTTCAACATAAAATATCATTTCTCGGTTAATCGTATGAATATTCGCACATCCTCTGTGCGAAACACATAAAGGACAATAGGTGAACAGAGTAGAATCATCGATTAATTGAAAAAATTAAATTACTTAAAAATATTTAATAATAATTTTTTAAATAAGAACTTTTGAATAGAGTCCACATAGATGAATTGTAATGTTCCGTGGATCTGAAAACTAAAGAAATAGAGATTATAAGAACCTAATGATAATTAATAATGACAATGTTAATATCAAAATACAATTATATTTAGACAAAATGACATGGATCACGAAACATAATCCGCGCCTTACGTGTCTGCGAAACGTTAATTTCCTTTTAAAATCTCCATCGCGTATCACCGGCCGACGAAAATTAGCGCCACTTAGTAATAGTGCTATAATTGTGCTTCGTGAAACTTCATGCTCGCGTTCTTTCTATTCGCGCGAGAAAAATTCGCCGCTATTAGATGCCCTAGAAAATTGTCTGGCACGGATTACATTTAGCGATCGGTACTTTATGACTTTCATAACGCAATAAACGTAAATCAAGGTAGTGATAAATGTCATGCTTTATGACATTGGACAATAAAATGGCTCACGGAATTCGTCCCAAGTCACGCAAAGTACATCAACTCGACAATGACCGCACACATTAGAATCCAGAAGTCGCTGCATTGATAAAGTAAAGTACACTTTGTCTTGATCGTTTATAATCACGACGCCGTGTTGTCCTTCGTTTTTCTTATCTATGCTTATCTAACGTCGTGTATTGCAATAATACTTCGTAAATATTTCTTTACGTAAACAATGAGGAAAGTTGTTTTTATGATCCTCATTATATGGGACAAGAAAATATCTTAATTATTTATTAATTATTAGAGCTAGAAATTATATTCGGAGTTTCGAATTTCTGAACACATACTCGAATAATGAAATTTTGAAATGTGAGAACGTGATAAGAAACTACATCTTATCCGTTATTCACGACAGACAGTGGGTAGTGGAAACAATTCCCGAGCGGGGATCCTCCTCTGTCGCGATCTCCACCTGGAATGAAATTTCAGATCGTAGTCACACGTTTGCGGCACCAAGCAGCCGAAGAAATCGAACGTTGACAAATCCTCGACTACTCGACTCGAAAGCGGTGCTTGCAGCCGGTCGTCGATTAGACGGTCTCCTCGCCCGTTTTCTATTCTAATTCTGATGCTATTCTGGTACCGGTGGTAGCAGCCAATAGGCAACGCGTTCACCCGGCTACGTTACGCTCCTCGTTCTTCTGCGTGTTCACTAGCAGCACCACCCCTTTCCCCGTGCCGGAGGCAGTCGCTCTCGGGGCATCGCGTGTGATAGATTAATCCTGCGTACCGCGCCACGTACACCGAGCCTTCGTCTCGACGTCGTCATCCTTTATTAACGCGCCTGATCGGCTCTTATCGTGCGATTTCGCGTATGTGTCCGAGTCGATGTGTCCGTCAGGCAGCTGCGATTACCCGGTCTGAAGCGCGGAATAGTGCTTCTCGAGAAGAGCAGTCTACCTGGATAAGCTGCCAGAACGATATCGGCAGGATAACGTCCGCCGGAGGGAGGCTGCACGATGCAGTGGCGTCGGCAGAAGAAGATCACCCACGTGATCGGCTCTTCGAATCATGTGCTGCTGTTAGCGAGGTACCAAGACGGTACGGAAACAAAATACAACAAGCTGTGCGCATCGCCCTTTATTTTCCATCGGACCGTCTTTCTTTCTCTCGCGAGATAGAAAATACGCGGATATCTAAAAAGAGAGAACGAGAAAGAAAATTTTGCATTGAATACTGATAGCGTATTCGGTTATTTTTAGCGTTTGACGGCTTTGTATACATTGTCGAACGATCAATTTCGCACCTCCCGTATGACACCGTCGGTTTCGTCGTCGGCGAATACTCGGTTAAGCAAATTGTGCGAGATCGTTCTGGATAAAATGTGAAACATTTTCCTCTACCCGTCTACGCACGCTGGACGCGACAGTCCGCAATTACGCGCGCCCCGTATATTTTTATGATTAATCAAGGCATAACACGCGTGCTGACAGAATAGCATCGATTCCCTGGAAGTCTTACTCGACACTTACAACGGTATCCATCTTAAAATAAGAAATTTACAAAGATCTACAAGAATAAGATAAATAAGAAGACAAAATTTACAAAGTAATTCTTCTCTTTTCGGAAAATACATGCAAGTTTTGTGGGATAGCGACATTGTTAGCGAGATCCGAAAGACGTCTAAGAAATGTTTCGAGACTCGTGGTAATCGTTTTTGAAACTTTTGATAGAATCATTAATATCGAGATTCAAATTACAGCAGGAGAAATGTTTCTTTCTATCAATTTATCGTTTACTATAGATATATTCCTATTCGATTTAATTTCAATTACAGTCGAGAGAGCACCCGACTCGTCATTATTGTTCATCGCGTAAATTTTCTGCGACAGCTCCGCCCGGTGAAGAGGATGAGGAGGAGGGTTTGCGGAAGGAATACGTGAAGAGTCAGGAGGCGAATGCGCACACCATCGATCGCAATGGGCAGAGCGGTTATAAACCACGGCGGTCCGGCACCGGTACCAGCGGCAGTACGAGCGGCTACGCCAGCAGTGGCTCGCGATCGCACCGGGATGAGAGCTCGGGCTCGCCGTCGCAGCCTAAGATTATCTTCAACGAGGACGAGTATACGAGGATCACGACGCCGCGGCAGGACGTCCTCTTCAAGAAGGGTTACTTGTCGCGCAAGAAGCCCTGGACTGGCAATGCGAGCACTAGCGCCACACCGTCGACCACCGAGAGTCAATCGGCGTCACATTCCACCGCAGGTAAGCGAAAGATCAAACAGAATAAAGATTTCTCTCCTTTTTAAATCGAAGATAACATGTAACGAAGGAAGGACTCCTGTATGAGTCGAAAATAAATATAAAATAAAATAGACAATAAGAACCCAATTGCGGAATCTCGATAGCAAATTATTTAATTAATAGAAATCAGGTACAAGACCCTAATATTTTGAACGTTTCGACCATTTAGTCAGCAATTTGCAATTAAAATCTTCGACGGAGTGTAAGATATATTAATGTGAGAAACCAAAAATTATAATCGCGATATTACAGTCAACGTGAATATAGATTCGAAGCAATAGGCTTTCTATAGCAACTTTCTGCTCAGTCAATTGCTTTTCAGTTTCGACCGAGTTTCAATGCAACTGAATGTTCCCAGTCGCGGTAACAGAGATATATATATATCATTTCTCATCACCGAGTTTTCATTTCATATCACCTAGTTATCATCTGGTCCCTATTCAGTTGCAGGAACTGAGTTTTTTCCGTGCAGACTGTAAATTTGAGACTTGCGCTCCTCCGTGGAGAGAAAAAAAGTCATCTTTCCACAAGAACGTCAACTTACACACCTAATTAAATTGGGATGATGACTGGCAAGTTACCATCCTAATTTGTTACCTTGCAATTTGCATATTTCGAGAGAAAGCCGACGCGTTAATTTACTGTCTCGTCGCTAAGAGCGGACCTGCGCGATGCTGCTAAATAAATATACGTTTGTACGGCGGTGTCCTTGCAGACGGCAGTGAAACTACGGAGGATCAGCAGTTGTTGGATAGGGACAGTGGAACGGGAGAATATCCGCCCATGGTAGAGCCGGGAGCGCAACTAGGATACGGAACGTTTTACGATCACGCGAGCGGCTACTACTACGAATATCCTGTGATGTTGGTCGGACCTGCGCCAGTACCTGCTCAAGTCGGACCGAATGTTTTAGCAGCTGTACCTTGCGGCCCGGTGCCTTTGAGGCCGATCGAGTGGATCAACCCTGCCTTCGTGCCTAAACTTGCCAATCAGCCATACTGCTTAATGGATTATCAGGTAAGGTCCTCATCTTTTAGTACGTACACTGGCCAGTTATATAGATATTCATTTCCGTTATTTCTGTTAAAAAAAAAATCCCAATTCTTCGGAGAATATAATCAAATGAACAAAATAAAGGAGGATCGCAAGTTCAAGAAATATACATATGATCAAATTTCTGCTAAATGACGTCTCTCCTCTATTTTTGCTGAGGAAAAATTCCCAATTTCTCGGAGAATATAACCGGCCTGAAAAAATAAGGAAAGGTCAAGAGTTCGGAAAATAAACGTATTATTAAATTTCCAACAAATGTTGACATCCCTCCGTTATTTCCCCTGAGAAAACATTTCAAATTCCTCCGAGCATACAGTCAAGTCAACAAAATAAACAAAGGTCAGAGGAGTTCGGGTAATATATATATTATTAAATTTCTGGCAAATGTTGACGTCTTCTCGTCGATTCCGCTGAGAAAAAATGTCAAATTCCCCAGAGAGAATCGTTGAAATGGAGACCCCGGGATGCAGGACTCTATGCCTCAAGTTCACTTGCTTGTTATCGTCAAGAGTCGCAAACGCTCGACAATAATACACGATTTCTGCAACGTTGACTATCATCTACTTGTAGACTAGTCAAAGCACGGAAACAGCCACGATAGTGGAGGAGCATAACGGCACGATGGTGACGGAAACTCCGAACGGTACGTGGAATGAGAGTGGCACCGGTAGCGCCAGCTGCAGCGGCAGCGTGGCCGAGGAGATCGAGGAGCAAACCGAAGAAATGGACAACGCGACGACGATGACTGAGCAACGGCAGCCGAAGGAGCAGCTCGTCGAGGAACAACAGCACCCGGAGCAGCAATATCAGCATCATCATGAGCATCTCGAGGGACAGCAGCCGCACTTGGAGAACGGTGGCGTGACGACGGCGGTGGAGCCGTACTTGGACCCGCTGTTGCTGCAGGAACCACCTCCGATGCATGTGTCGCACGTGGTGCCAGCCGTGCCACAGCCGTACATGTATCCCGGCCACTACATGTTCGGTCCGCCCTTGGTCAACGTTAATGGTTAGTTATAGAGTCAGATTAGGGTAGCATACGGTCGGCGGTTGCCCCCTCCGATCGACGTAATGTGCGTGCGCGTGCTAATGGATTGGCAAAGTACGATTCTTGCTCTCCGCTGCTTGCATGAGCAGGCCTAGCTATCTAGCTACCTATACATTCGCCCCCTCGTAGCCTTCGTTCTGTTCACAGTCGAATGGACGGAACAATGAAACAAAAGTACGAACCGAAACGCGTGTTGAGCCCGTTTGCATTTAAGAGAAAGAGGCGCATTTCGGGGAGGGAGCGTTTGCTTCATTATCGCGATATGAATCACTATGTGAAAAAACGATTTTGCAAGTCATAACTGACGATGTGCCTTGTCATTGCAAATTAATTCAAATCACTTGGGTAACGGATACAGGAATATTGAAGGGATCGATTGTAAAAGTAAAATCAAGATTGATATATGCAAGTATTTCCACAGAGAGAGAGAGAGAGAGAGAGACAAATTTATATTGATTTAGCAAAATTATTTTTGATATATCTCTCTATTTCTAATATATTCAATGATCTATGCATGATAAGTTCTATGCATTTAAATTTTTCCACGTATCGCGACGTAAATACTCATCATAATATTCGTGTCAGCGAGTAAAGCTTGTAATTCTTATCAACGCAAAAGTTGCTGAGACTAATACTCTCTAATATAAAGCAAGAAAACTATTTACTCCTTTAAATGATGACACACGGATATATGTAATAATTACGACATATACGAACTAGCATCACGTGATGAAAAGGGAGGAAATTACGATAAGAGATTGCAACAATGTTGCAATACATCGTTGTTCCAATTATATGCATATATATCTCTCTGTGTTGATCTAATTGACGCTCCTTCCTCGTACTGCGCTACACTGCGTCGTAGTACGCTTGATTGTACCTATTTCTAATGTTAAACGAGAACAGTGTCGATCGGATGCGCGGCCAAGGAAAAGGGATATGCCCCGATTCATGACTTCTGTCCCGTCCATCGGCATCATTGCTGTTTTATTACCGCCGTGCCTCTACCACATTCAAGGTAAAAGGTAATAATTCGCAAAAAAGGTACCACGCTTTAGACACGATCGTGTGCGAGACTTTCGAGCCTCCACGGTGGTTACGTGAGTCGATATTTACCGTGCGTGCGTAAGAGACGCTTTTAGAAGATTTTGATCCGGATGAAAGCGGAGATTCCTGCGTGGTCTACATATAGTTCATTTTTCACGATCGTTCCTAAAGTTCCGACTCTTTACACGCTCTCACGATGTCTGTTTGGCCACCACGACGTGTTGTGTCACTAGCATAATTGTCAAATTGATGTACTCTTTTTCAACCGCACCGCATCATTGTTCCCACATCGCACCGTCGCAGTAACGAAGCGTATTCTCACATCCGCGCGAGTCCATTGACTCGCGGCCGTCGCACGGGAGGACGCCGTGCGGCCACATCCACACGATTTATAACGTCCGAAATATGACTTGGCGAGAAGAGAAGAGCGAGACTTTGGCAATGGCGACGGAATGTTGCTACATCTCAAATAGCGCTCGTTAAAAATAACACCTACGCTGTTTTGTTCACTTCGATGACGAGGAGTCACAGAAGGCACAGCAGCAGCGAAAAGCCAAGTTCACTTTTCGCGATCTTCGGCACTCTCCGTTCTAGGCGCTCATTTACCGTGCGATCGGCGGTTCATCCAGCCGGGAACGAATATCGCACCGAAACTTTACTTTCTCATCGACCGGCTCGTTTGTTCGACAAAACGATAACGCGCGACAATTTCGCTTGTCCAAGGTGTTACCATCCAGGGCGGGCCATTGGTGAGAACCATGGACGTGGCGGCTATGACAATGGCGTGCGCCAAACGAAGAAAGAAGAGAAAGAAACGAAAGCAGAAAAGACCTACTTTGGTAAGTCACGCGGGACTCACTTTAAATGAAGTAATAACGCATTTTTTCCTTACATTTCTTTGGAGTAAAATCTCATTGTGAAAAGCGGCGATAAGGGAAAATACTACCACCCGAAGAAAAAGAACGGTGAATGCTTCACTTGCGCACATAAAAATGTATCGTTAAATATCTCGGAAACGGTACGGTAAAGATTATTGAAATTTCTGTCATGCATTGTTAGTTCAATTAACTTTTATATTATGTATACAGATTTATGTCATGTATTACAGATTTATCTTATATTTGGTCAAACGTTCTTTAATAAAGGAAATGATTGATGGAAAGTCAAAATTTCAGAATCGTATTTTTTACACAAGAAATAGGGTATTAATCTAAACAATAAGAACGGTCAGAACTGCTTCTAACGTTAACGAGATGTTTTGTATAAATGAAAGAAAAGTCACTTGAATTCAGTGATCACTTTTCGAGTGAGACTTCACTCCCCAAATAATTAGTAGACAAACTTACATTCCTCTAATTGTGAAAAAGAAGGCTAATGTAACGAAACCGCATCGGTCTATCGATCAGTGTGACGCCGACGAAGACACGCTAGAACGGATCACAAAGAGGTTCCGACGCGAGATCGAAACGTTAAAGCTTCCTAACCATTTGATTTCTCGCATTCAGGGTAACACCGAAGATGAGGAGGAAGGAGAGTACAGTTCCGAATGTGATAACGATTTATCGTCTTCCCGACTGCCTTGGTCGGAATGTCCGGCCGCGATTACAACGACGACAACGGCCGCGAATCCTCGGCCGCTCAATCCCGAGTGCCAGGAGTTTCAACTGCGGCCGGCGCTGCAATCTCAAGTCCTCTCTAGTCCCGTTTCGACGCCCGCCGTGACCGAGGAGGCCACCGCGACGTATGCCAACGACGCCGAGACGAAAGCCGCGGACTCGAGTCGCGAGGCCGACGAGGTGCTGCGCGGCACTTCGCCGAGTCCAACGAACCCGGAAGACGCGTCCTGCTCGGAGCAGACGCCACCGGAAAACAATCCTCCTCCGCAGCCGGCGATTGGGCGCAAGCCAAGAAACGGGAAGGTTGAAGTTAACGGTCGACTGGACTCGACCGAGAAGGAGGAGGAGGCCGTCTTCGCGGAAGCGCCGACCGACACCGTTGAGAACGATTCGACCACCGGCGCGCAGAAGCGCGATTTGCTCGAGAGCAGCAGCGATGACGGCGTTAGCACGGCGGGCTTGCTGAAGAACCAGTGCGGGAACACCGAGGTAGCTTTGACCAACGGCGAGGCGAACGTCCCGAAACCTGAGGTCCTCGACGACGCGCTTACCGACGACAAATCTCGTCCATACTCGACGAACGCAGCGGAGAAGCAGGAGGAGGAGGGGGAGGAGCAAGATTCTTCACGTCAGTGCAACAATTCGTCGTTGCCGAGAAAGTACAGCGGCAAGAAGGGTCCGAAATTCGTGAGGGAGCCTACACCTGGCCCGGATCTGGACGAGCAAGCGACGCGCTCCTCGGACGTGGAGAACGGCGGCAAGGCCGTGCGACCGCTCGAGCTGTCGGACGACGCGCGCGTGGATACGACGCGCAACGACAGCAAGGAAACGATCGAGGGTTCCAACGAGGACTCCGGCTTCGAGAGTCAGACTCGATTGTCCAAGTATCCGATCACGGACGCGGTGACGGAGTGGCTGCGTCGCGCCAATTCGCCCGACACGTTGTTCCTCACGTCGGCGACGGACAGCGAGACGGACGGGGAGGAGGATGACGAGGAGATGAATGGAAAGCCGCCAAAAAACTTGCAAGGCAACCCCATGCCTGCACTATCTGCTAATAGCGGCGTCGACAACGGTGTCATCACGACGTTGTCACGCACGGCTAGCTGCGGCGAATTCGCAAAGTCCAACAACAACAACATCAACAGTGTCAGGATGATCGATCGGGCGGAGACGAACGGCAAGCGCAAGAATGACGCAACGAGGAGGAAGGCGGCGAAGAGGATCGACAAGCGCAACAGCAGCAGGAGCGCCGATGAGAAACAATCGGTCGTCGCCTGCTGTCACCGGTTGGAGAACGTCGTCGCGAAGCTGAAGGATCCGTCGAAGAGCAATGTTGGTAACATTTGCGAATTTACTCAGGAGGATAGCGTTGCGGGTATGAGGGTTGCTTCAAGTTCTCGGACAAACTCGAAGAGCGCGAGGCGAGCTAAGACATCGCGTAGGATCAAGAGAGATCCCGTGGAGAACATCGATATCAGGATGCGGCGTATAGACGACGGAACGGCGCTCGGCGACAGCGTGAGCGTGCGGACGTTCGAGAAAGGCGAGATCATCGTCTCGGAGGACGGCAAGTTGTTGCCGACCTCCTCGTACGAGCCGGTCGCGACGAGAACCGCCGTCGACGTGATCAACGAAAACGTGGTGCAGGAGACCTGCGAGGAGGAGGAGGAGGAGAAGACGAAGAACAGCAGCGAGAATGACGATAACGTTATGATGTCCTCGGTCAGCATAGAGGAGCCAGACGTGTTGGAGTGCTGGGAGGCGGAGACCATCGAGCCGGTGATAACGCCGAAGCGAATGTTGCAGAGCCCGGGTGTCCTGTGCGAGGGCGAGGCCGTCGAGGACGACAGCTTGGAAGTGGAGAAGGCGACCGTCGAGCACGTGCGCAAGTACTACAGGCTGGACAGCGCTATCAGCATCGAGGAGGAGCCGAGCGAGGAGGTATCGGCCCCGAGAACAGTGCCAAATAATCCGGAGAGGACGGCGATCGAGCGACGACGTATCGAGGAGATCCCGATCGTGATGCCGGACAAAAGCCGGGACATCGTTCTGGCGGACGAGAAGATACCCGTCGACGAGGCGTTCGAGGTGTACGAGAGCTGCTACGCCGCCGGCAAGTCGCCGGCCTTCGACTCGAGGATGTTCAAGCAACAGCGGCCGTTGCTGCAGAACGGCGAGGGCCCGATACCGTGCCGAGCGGTGTGCTGCAACATACAATAATGGCGCAGTCTCGCCACACGGAACTATCTGTCCCACAAGGTGGAGAGAACGCGGCGATGTATCCTTGCGATATGTTGTGTCGCAACGATGTGTTACCACGGCGACGATCTTCTCCAACCGTTGCACTACGCGCATACGTTTGCACCTCACGTTGTTCGAAATCAATTAAGAAGAAGTTATACATCCTAGCCTCGTCGGGCAGGATCTATTAACACACAAATCGTTGTTCTTTCGAAAGTCCAGTGAGACACGCTCAAGAGGGCTGAATGGTATCTCGAAAGCGCGTGAATCGCGATCCGTTTTTTGTAAATAGTTTTTAAGAGTTTGCTTGTGATCGTATTTCGTGAAGAATCTTCAAAATTTTATGTATGAGAGGCATGCATTATAGTCACCACTCTACGATAGCATTTTACCTGTCATTAGCGCTTTGGCTGCCACGTCGCCCCAGGTGATGCGTGAGTTCCCAGAAAGCGATGGATACCCTAGAAAACGTGTCGATTTCATAGCTCATATGGAGAGAGGGAGGTAGTATTAAGACTAAATGAGAACTCAGGCAGTGAATATGTATCGGCGGATAGTAGGTGCGCTTATCATTTCATTGGTACGGTTGACCTCAAGTTGGTTATCAGATTGTACATTTGAGATACACGCAATTTGGTGGGGCTCACGCTCAGGTTCAGCGTGGTAGTCAAAATGTTAAGGGCATTGCCGTGTGTCATTGTTCATTGCGATCGTAAGGGAGGAGGAGATTTCGTAACGGACGTCAGCTTTTATCTGGACCGAGCTTAACGAGGGGCAATACGTTGTTTTCTCTGAATACATAAAAAAGAGCGTGAGTTTTATTTTGAATGAAATGAAAGAAGGAGAGAATGAGAGGAGAGGCATATAAAATGTGTGCCAGGCTGTTATTTTTAACATTCTCGCTACGATATCTCGTAACGCACTTTGCCGAAGCGACAGAAGCATTATTTTTACAATCTATATAAAAGACACGAGTGTTAAAAAAGACTAAGACTTGTTGTATCACTCTGGATGGCCTTCGCTTAAGGGAAGTTTCGATCGCTCACAATTATTCGACTCTCAACGTCATCGGAGTGACCCCGCATGTTTACTACCCGTGAGGTTTTAGTTTTTTCTTCCGTTTTATTTCTTCCTTGGTTTTATTTTCGTATTAATTTTTCTTTTTCTTTTTTTTTCCGTTTTTCCTTTTGTTTCCTTTTCTTTCGCCGAGAACGGACGTATATTTACACGTATTGTAATCGAGGAAAATCGACAGAGTTGATCGTTCTAGAGAGATAACACATGCTTTTAAGTAGCATACGTATTAATCATGCAGAAAGTAATATCACGTTTTTTCGTAGAAGGTACTAGTAGAAAGCGGGCGGCGGTAAAGACAGTGAGCTACATTAGACCTTACCTTAGCTGTTATTAGGAGGTATAAGAACGAGATATGTACATAGAGAAAGCTTACGAGAGACAGTTAAAGAGTAAAATCCACATTCAATCGGAGAGATCGCGGGAGACCAATGCTCGTTTCTATTCATTATGGTTTAAATCTAATCGACGATTAATTTAATGGAATTGACCCAATCACATTGATCAATTCGGCTAAATTGGCCAATGCTATTGGTCAGTTCGTTAAGTTAATCGTCGATTGGATTTAAATCATCACGATAAAAACGGGCGTAAGTCTGTTTTTTGTTCTTTTCTTTTTTTTTTTCTCCAATATAAACACCGATTTCGGCGGACTCCGGAATCGGACGAGAGCGCACCGCAAAGACGCATTATGTGTACTTAAACACACACACACACACACACGTAAGAGCTGCACTTGTTAACGACATAGTCCACGCTTTAGTTCATTTTGTGTCAAGAAGTAGAGAGAAAGAGAGAGAGAGGGGG